TACACACTACTATGTGTTTGATATACACATACTATTTGGGGTCGGCGTAATATGTTTTTCGCTTCCATTCATCCCTGTTCGCAGTCAACGCGTTATTTACTTCCTTTCTTACCATATCATCTTTCACACAGTCCATCCATCTCTTTTTTCGGCCTTCCTCTGCCCTTATAATATTGTCTGACTTAGACAATAGAACCTTAATAATGTTCAAACTTATAATTTAAATTTTTATGGTCAACTTTCGACCACTAACTGACCACTAGTAAAAAATAAAAATACTATTTATAACATAATGAATGCAAAAAAGAAGATAGGGGACACCCGGGTTTGAACCGGGGACCTCTCGATCTGCAGTCGAATGCTCTACCACTGAGCTATATCCCCGATGCGTTTTGTTCTCAAACTTGTTGTCTTATATTGTACAATGAAATTGTCTAAATAAATATTTTTTAATTATATTTGTAAATAATATATATTTTAGATAAATATTATAATAATTTACAGCCTAATCTTACTAATAGATTACATTATTCCGTTTTTTATAATTAATATAACCTAACGATGTCGCTGTTAATTCATTTTTTGTTTACATCTCCGGTGATGAAAAATAATACAAAAGAAACTAATATGGCGGTGAACTCACCCCAGGCCATGTGGGGCTCAAGTATAACTAGGGCACGAGGGGAAGAGGATTGTTATTAATGAGGACTAATGACCCCATTGCTAGTAATGTACCATGTCAGGTAGACCCCCACCCTGTTTCCCCTGGAAACCATCGTGATAATCTCGTGAATTCATCACGATGGGCTAACTGGCCTGATCTCATGTTTATCTTATTGCCCTCTACTGGTGCCCCTCCAGCGAATACCTTTATCGCAGGCTAAACACCATTCCATTATTATCCATTAAAAAAAAACTAGTGGGCATACACAGCATCTGGAATTGCAGTTGTGAATTGTGATTTCCTAATAGCTATTGAATCACCGAAGTTCAATTTCAGTTTTCAGATTATGGTTACTAGCGCCATCTGTGTAAAAATTGTTGAAACTTATACATGGATAGTAGTAACAGTTTAGCATAATACTGGATAGATGGCGCTGTATCGTATTTAGCTGAGATATGGCAGGTACAAACTTATTTGCGATAAAGGGCACACACACAAGGCACATTAATATAAAAAAAAAGAAAATACACAATTATTGGTATGACCTTATAACATTTAATTAGGGGGAAGGGTTAGTAATGGGGAATAGTAATCCCATTGCTGATTGCTGAGTTTACCATGTTATTAGCTCGACCTCCACGCTATCTCCCCCGATTATCGTGGCTAAATCGTGGTAAATTTAGCATGATGTGCTATCTGGCCTAATTTCTTGCATACTTGCAAAGATTGGCCAGACAGCCTGACCCCGAATAAATGAGACTAAGGTCAGCTAATAGAAAATACATATAATACATTCCATATAGATAATAAATACATATAGTAAATCCAACGGCAACAAAACTAATTATTTTTTAAAAGTCGCTTCTAAAATGTGATACGAATGTATGATTAAAAAAAGTTGCTCGCCCCCGGGTGGGCTTGAACCACCAACCTTTCGGTTAACAGCCGAACGCGCTAACCAATTGCGCCACGGAGGCGTTGGCAACAACTCTGAAAATATCGACCATTTAGAGTAATGTTGTTAAGAGAGGAATTCTATTAAATTTAAAATAAAAGAAATTTATTTAAAGAATAATAATTGTAACGAGTCTATAGTCTGTATTCTCAATGACATCTTTAGCAGTCCACGGGAATAAATTAAAATTCTGTATTAGTGTGGGATATCGAGTTCCATTACACTCTAGTACGTAATACGGTCTTAACGCCACTCATTTTCGAACACAACTGTACACAAGCCGCGCCGTATTAATGTTTCTTTAACTTTTAAAATTGCTTTGACTTCCACAATACAGGAATAGCCTTGTAAGGTCATAGATAAAATATTAATTATATTAAATTTTCAGAAATAAAAGTTATTCCATTCTATTCTACATAGCAACGGTAACAACAACTACACAGCAATTTATAATGTAGCGTATTATAATTTCATTAATGTACATATTAAGTATCGCCTTGTAGAATTTCTTTTATTTATTTAAGTATATGTATACTCTTTTTGCACCTTATATATTACAGGAATCAAAATTAACAAAAGGCGGTCTTTTATTTTAATAATTATATTCATTTATAATGGGATATATAATAACCTAATATTATTTTACATATACATTATTGTAGACGGAAGTTTATTATATTAGCTATTAATTCTGAAAAAAAAAATCTTTAATATTAGAAATAATATTAGTATAATTCTGTTTCTTTTCTCTTCTTCATGAATTTAGATAGATAATATAAAAATGTATCTGTATTTGGGTCATAGATTTAAAGTGAACAAAGCGAGCCAAACTAAACTATATTGTATTAAATACAGCTATGTCGTGGATATTACACTGCTTTGCTTTTACGCTTTTTAGATGCTACATGCTTGCTTTGTAAATTTTCACCCTTCCTGTTTAAATTTGATCAGCGCCGCTAGATGTCGCTAGTGTAATATTTACATGATTTTCTACATCGCGCTAACAAGATTTTTTCGCTCCGAATGACTACCCCGGCGCGACGCAGTGAATTCATACTTACCTGGCGTAGGGGACACCGTGATCAAGAAGGCGGTTCCCCCAGGGTGAGGCCCTCCCATTGCACTGCGGTTGGGTTGACCCCTGCGATTATCCCTAATGTGGATAACTCGGACGCGTAATTTTTGGTAGTGGGGACTGCGTACGCGCTGTCCCCCTTAAAAACTAAAAAAATCCAATTATGTAGTGTACCAAATAACGGAATTATTTGGTACATTATGGTAAATATTTTCACTTACATTATTTGTAGAGGTTAGTCCAAAAAAGGTTTGTTGCAATATTTAAATCGGCTTTAAAAGCCAGCCTACTCTGTATTGTAGTATGTGTACTGTAGTGTATTAATTATTTTTCCCGTCCTGTTACGAATATTAATTACAATATGCCTAGTGATAGACCTGTTCTTCAAAATTCTCCATAGAGGGTTTAGAAGATTCGAAGAGTTTACATTTACCTCGGCGGATGATCTCATTATTTTTTTGTAGGCTAAAGTTTGATGTAAATATTCCGCACATCACTATTGGCCATTATTTTCTTTTATAGGTCTGTACAGATTTTTATTACTTAAATTATAATAGTGTTTGACTTACTTAAACAATTATATTTCTAAATATATAATTATATGATTTTCAATCAGTCCTGTAGCTATATAATATTGCGTCTTTTCTAAAAACCTTTCTAATGAATCTTAATATATAGATAGATAATGCACTGTTTTTACTCTACATATAGACGACTCTTATAAGAATAATAATTGTATTGATGATAGTAATAATTGTTAAATATTAAATACTAGTTACTCGCCCCGGCTTCGCACTGGTATGAATCTTCCTCTTGAATCGCTCGATCTATTTAAAAAAACCGCTTCAAAATCTGTAGCGTAGTTTTAAAGATTTACGCATATATAAGAGCGGACAGCGCAGTCTGTCCGTCCTTATGTACAGCGAGTTTATTTTATACTATGTAATATAATTGTTGAGAGGGACCTCATAAAACTAAATGATTAGTAATCCCTAGTTTGATAACATTATGTTGTCTTTGCGTAGCAGAGAACTAAAAAGCTATGCTCGTATCCTGTAATTTCACCGTCTCATGCCGACAGAAATGACTGACATAGACTACTTTTTAAAAAGTCTAATGTCCTCCTCTGTAATTTTTAATAGTATATGTTGGTAGCAGACTAGCGCAAACTCTTCTGCATCATACTTACTTGATATATATCATTATATTTCGCCTAATTTACATATCTTATTAAATTATAGTCTAGTATATGTGTGATTCTAATGTGTAAGCTATATTACTGAAAAGTTTCATTAAAATCCATAGAATAGTGCTTGCGTGAAAGAGTAACAAACATTTGTCCATCCATCCATACGTACAACCTTTCGCGTCTATAATATTAGTATGTAATATTATCTTGTCTGTGATATTAGTAAGATTGACTTCGCAAGACCTATCTAAACTATGAATATTGACTTTATGCATTGTAAAATAGGCAGACATTATAGAAAACTTAACCAACGTATGTATATTAATAATGTTCCGCGCATCTTTCTAAATTTTCAAAGCACCGGACTATAACAAACAAAAAAATAATTAGCGAAATCGATCCAGCACCCGTATTTTAAAGGGATTATATTATTGTGTGCATAGATACTATATTATATATATCTATTACAAACTCTAAATGTCATATTTATTTATATTTAATCAACAGTATAAACAATAAGGTCTACCTTTAAAAATGACCGTAATTATTTCCATACAACATTCGTCTCCCCTTTCAACTCTTTTTTGACATTATTAAGTAGTGTTCTTTCTCAGGGTTTAGATTATCTGTGTACCGAATTTCATTTAAATCGGTTCAGTAGTCTGGACTAAGACCGCGACAGAATATAATATAATTCCTATTTCCTTTGGTCACGGAATTATGCTTGTACGTCTGGACCGATTTTAGTTTTTTTGAAGTTTTTTTTATAGTAGTTTTTTTTTGTGTTTATTATAGCGCATTGACATAAATTTCTAGCATATATGCTATTAGGTTTGACTTGTTTGTAATTGATAGGCTCTGCAAATCACCACCTGTGGTAGATAAAAAACAAATTGTTATGACTATTCAAAAGTGCTTAAACTAAGTTTATTTGAATAAATGATTTTCTATGTTTTCTACTTTTCTATTTTCCTGTTTTAATTTTGGTGTTTTAGGATAATAGTAGGTATAAATTTTGTAACTAATAACCTGAATACTAAATAATAAGTGAGGGTTCTCTCTCAGTATTAAAAATTAGGTAATATTGAAAAATTAAAGACATTTTTAATAATGTGTTGTTAATTTATTATACACTTTTTATAAACTTTAACAAAATTAAACCTTACAAAAGTATAAAATCTTAAAATCCATTAGTTTTCATTCACAATGTATTTCTACCACGAATTTCGAAGTCAATAACAAGTACATACGTACAAAAAGCCAAAATGGCGACAATGAGCAAATTTCGCAAGGAACAGACAAGTCGTAACGACGTATTTACATAATTTTTTTTGGCTGATGAAATGTCAAAATGGAATATTCAATTTTATCAAATTACATAGTTCCAATACCGTAAAATGGTAATTATAAGTACAACACTATTATTTCTACATTACAATATTTTAATATTATTCAATTATGAAATTTGTTAATACATTTTGTAAAATCACTAAAATAAAATTATCCTAGCTACCATTATTCTCCACAATTCACCGAAATCATTTTCTAATACAAATTCAATAAGCCCGTACAAAATGGGTGACGAACATAGTTCCCTTATTGAACACTAGATGGCGTTATACCGCCGAAGCCGAAAAAAATGGCCGACCAGCGGCGTCCATTTTGGGACCAATCAATGGTGTATATTTTTTTTTGTTCTCAATATGTTTCTTTGATTTTTTTATTCACTTCTCGGGCAATTTGATGACTGGCATCTGAGAATATCCCCAGTTCTCTTCGCAGTGTTCGACCAAGTCTCTCTCCGCTTCAGTTAAGATGGACAGATCGATCTCCTGGCTGTCTGTAAACGGGTCTGTGTACGGAAAGTGCACCAGGATGCAACTGTAGTCTGAAGAAGTGCAACGACCCAGGAGGCTCTTCATTTTTTCTTGTGAATCAACCTGGAGACAAAACAAAACAAAAATTAGCCAATTGAATACATGCCTAATGATATAGTGTGATATTTAGTGACTCTAAACGCCGCTAGATGTCGTTGTTTTATGCAAATTAGATTTTTACAAAAATTAATATCAAAGAGAAAAAATGTGTTTCTTGTTTATATTAGATCTATGAAATAATATATAATTTTAATTTTTCGGCAAGTATGAACTTATTATATGCGGCCGGCGTCGTAGAACACAATTAGTATTTTTCAGGTTTATAATCGTATTATTTTAACAAGAATATTCTAAATTAATAGTTTATAATATAAATAATATAAAAATAATTACCTTAATGACATAGATGTCGTTTTCAGTGCAATAAGCCTGCAACAGGACTTCTTGCATGTGCGTTGCACTATCACCAGGGGGCGCTTCCGCTGTCAGGCAGAAGAGGGCTCCGTCGCTATGCTTCGACAAATATTGAATAGCAGGAAGAAGGCCGATTGTCAGCCTCTTCTCTATGCATGCTCGCCGTAGCACCGTTTTGATGCACTGGCCGATTGAGCTGCAAAAAAAAAAATATGTATATTAGATAAACTGAAAATTTAAAAATATTACAACTTAAAAAGTTCTATTAATTATATTTTTTTGAAATATTACAACAAAAAGGTATCCTCCCCGGCGGGGAATCGAACCCCGGTCTCCCGCGTGACAGGCGGGGATACTTACCACTATACTACCGAGGACTACATGGTAATTGTTGAAATTACCTAAGGTATTTCGATTAGAATTAACACTACTATTCAAAGACTATTTATGTAGTTTTATCAATAGAATTCGAGAATCAAAGAATTATAACAACTTGAACATTTAGAACTTTTTATATATATAATAGAATAAAAAAAAACTAATTCAATTTTAATATTGTGAAATCAACGGCCAAGTAATAACCGGTAACAAATTTTCTTGATTTATGAAGCTTTTTAATAATTGTACCAGATGTATTTCAGATATCTTAGGATATGCACTGGTCATACAATATTACAGAAATTAATGATATAATAATATCCTAGTCAATGAAATTAAAAAAGATAGTTACCATTTAGCCGCAACTCCACTGAACGTCTCCATTTTCACAGGAACTACCGAGTCTTTATACATCTTGTTTAACTGGATACTTTTCAGGTTATAATGGTCACTAATATTGGTAACTTTATCCCAATTGGTCGGAATTTTCACTTTATCACTTGCACTTGACACAATAATTATGCAATCCAAGCGCGTGCCAACAGGATCCGATTGTAACGCCACTAACGTAACTTATGTCACAACAATTTCACAACTTCACGAGCTCAACGGACGTGGTTTCGCTTCAAATGTTTCAGTCGGAATGTTTATCTGTGACGCAGCCGGCATTTATATAGAGACGATCACACATGCGCGATTTTCGATGTGTGCGTGGCGCCTCCGTGTAATAACAGGACAATTCTTTGGAAAACCTCGTGCGTTTACGATAAAAATCTATGTGTGCGTGGGGCAGATCTCTGGGCAGGTTACAACGTGCTCGGTCATTATATTGTGTATCGGAAAGGACTACTCTGCCCCCCACTTCTTGGTAAACTTGCGGTGACAGAAGAGGTTAGTAGTCAAATTGCAGAGGTCATTTAAAGTGGTTATCATACTGTATGTGTGCATTCCATCCGTTGAAAATGGAATTCCCGCGCGCTTGGGTTTTTATCGAAGGAAACAGTTACAAGAATCCATGTTAATACAGATTACCAACTTTGTTCCTTTCATTAGAACTTTCAGAACTTATTACAATTAGCACGGCGAATGAATTTGATTTGATATGTAATAAGTATCTAAATCCTGCGGAGATATGTCTGCTGTTTATATTAGATTAGATTGTGACTCTCTATTTATTCTATGATAATGAGAGATAATGGCGTTGATTTTTTAAATAGGTTATGTTTGCATGATTAAACCTTTTGTTAACTTAACAGAATACTCAAATGAGAATTTTCTTTAGAATCTAAACACTTCATAGCCTAAATACTAAACAACTAGACTTAACAATAACAATTTTCGTAGCGTTCACCGCATTGTATTCGTTTTATTGTTAATGACCATAATTTGAAACAAACAAAATTTGATTTTGTTACTTTCTGTGAGCATCATAAAGAATTCAAATCAAAATATATTATCATATATTCATGTAGGTAGATCTATTACAGACTCTTTGAAATATCGTATACTCTTATGATATGTCACATCTACCGTTAGTTCAGAGTGCATTCAAGGTAAAAAAAAACTGACTCGAAACTCTTACAAAAACGTAGATTCGTTTTCAAATTTGAATTAAAATGACCAATTTACAATTTGTTGATATTTTACACATCAAAATTACACAATTTACACAAAATAGACAATATGAAATGCTATTTTTGAATAACTAAGATACGATCGATACAAACTAGTCTGTAATCTAATCAACAAATACAGAAAAGCGAGCCAACATTCGATAATGCCATAAAAGGGCAAACATAATGTAGGTAATATGCTTATCAGTTATAGGATGATTAATTTATATTTTATTGTATCAGAAGCGAGCTCGCAACAAAGAATTATTATATTTGATTCTATGAAAGTGATAAAAAAAATGTCTTGCATATTTGAAAATGGACTTTTAGTAATTCCAATTAAAAGTGATAAACTTCTTAGCATTCCATATTCACGGTGCGGGTGCCGTGTCCATTGTGCGGCAGAGAGGGAAACTCCGAGCAATTACCGGAACTTGTGACCCGGGTATAGGTTTAAAAGGTCCCTTGCCGTCGACTCGCCTTCACCTCTCGTGCTTCACTCCCTGCCCAGCCTCTGTTAGGAGCCTGTTAGTTCTGCTTTTGATACATGTTCTAGTAGTACTTATAGTAGATTAAGATCTTTTAGAAGATTATACTAAGATTTCGCTGGTATAACTCTCGCTCCCACTATGACGGTTACAAATTAACGATATAGCTATTATTATATATTAGCTATTAATTGGTTTATTCGTAATATTTGTTTCTATTGCATGGCCTACTAATAATATATACGCGTAATTTATGTAAAACTCATAACCTATAAGATGGGTTCATTCTTTGATAATTTAAGAGCTACGCTCTTGTTGGTGGAGCTCTTGTCACTTCCGAGATCTTCCATCATGCTCTTTAAATGTTGATGTGACACAACTCCTCTAAATTAGGTATTCCACTGGAATTAGGTACGAATGAAAATTTGTAATTCCAATTTCAAAATATTAAATTAAAAATTTCATAGTTTTTAAAAAGAATAGAAAAGAAATAAAATGTCAAATTGTATGCTTTCGTGATGATTGTTTTCTTGAGTCACACGTCATAATGGCACGCGATCAATGTTCTGTGTCACTCTGTTTACATTGATAGAGTAGTGACTCCGAGTGACTCCGAGTGACTCGAGTCAATGATCTGACTGCGTTATGTAATAAATTGATTTACTTAGTTCGATGAATTGATTTTTTATTATTATGTAACAGTTTTTATAAGTAAACATTCGTAGTGATTTTAATGCATATTTAATAGTGAATCATAATTCTACACTTTATATATATACATCTGACTATAACTTTTTTATGTTCCTTTTTTAAAATAATTAATAAATAAAAAATTTAAAATATTTAAAAATTTTAATAAGACAACTAATATTTGTACTTCTGACTAAATAATATTCTTTGTTTTGTGTTCCATTTTCAAAATATTTAAATATTTATTTTTTTATTTTTGATTAGATAATTAAAATGTTAAATGAAATATTTTCGTCATGATTTTTTACTTGTGTCATGCGTCATCATGGAACGAGATCTGCTCTGTGTCACTCTGTTTACATTGATTAGCGTAATGACTCTAAATGACTCGAGTCTATGATCCGACTGCGTTATGTAATCAATTGATTGATCAATTCCTTAGATTGATAGATTGATCGTTATTAATTTTTTTTACAGCAAACCATTCCTTGTCATTTTATCATTTATCAGTCATCTGACTATTGAACCTTTGCACGGATTTTTCAACTAATTTACTTAGAACCCTAATTAATTATACGCCTAAACATTCCTCAGATATCAATCTGTATAAAATCGCATATAAATAAGTTTAGTAGTTTTTGAGATTATCGCGTAAACAAACAGACGCGATGGAGAAATTCGTCATAAGATATAAATTGAAATATATAGGTTCTCTAGAAGATACGATTACGTATTATTTTATATCTCAATGGTGGTAAATGGTAGCCTATCTGATGGTAGTACAAACCGGAAAAAATGGGAGGAAGGGGATTATTAGTAATGTGGACTAATAAACTCGCTCTAGCAATGTACCATAGCAGTTTGATCTCCACTCAGTTCCCCCTGGAATCCATTATGATAAATTCCTGGTGAATTTGTCACCATGGGTTAACTAACTTGACCTCATGCTCGTCTTATCATTCTCCACTGGTCTCCATTCTAAACCGTTAGTGCAGGCTGTTTACAATCGATTATCATCCATAAAAAAGACCGGACAAAATAACAATAATATAGGTAATCGAAATTCATAAACGATTAATTAAATAACATATTGACCATTATTATGAAGTAATAATGATTTTTCCCACTCGCGCTTTGTTATCAATTCATATTAATTGTTGTTTGAAATATTTCAACACAACATTACCACTAATTCTGATGTTTGTCTCTATTTGGATATTCTGTGGTTATCTGTACATGGAATAACAAACAGATGTTTTGTTAATTTCATTTTAGTCAAATGTAAATACGTATATGTTAATTATTTCCCGTTTATTGTAAAATTCTATTTAAAAATGTATATATATTTATAGGTATTTGTTATTATTGTAAAACTAATGGCCAACTTACTCCTAACTTTGAGAGATTTGTGTATATTTATATCTTATCTTATTAATATTATAAACGCGAAAGTTTGTAAGTCTGGATGTTTGTTATTCTTTCACGCAAAAATTACTGAACGGATCTTGATGAAATTTTACAGCTTATACATCAGAATAATATAGGCTATAAATTTCACGCTAGTGAAACGGTGGTCACAGATTACTATCTGTAATAACAATATTCTGGACAATTTACATAGCGCCATCTAGTTCCACTTTAAGCGGAGCTTGTGTTATGGGTACTAGACAACTGATGTAAATACATTTTTTTTTTTGTAAATACATACGTAATATACATAGAAAACACCCAGTCTGATACAGACAGTCACCACGAATACAAATGTTTGCACCGTGCGAGGAATCGAACACGCGACCATCGGAAGTAAAGCGGTGTGCTAAACCACTAGACCATCGAAACCATCATTATGTGTACGAACTTTATATTATTTCAATAAATTTGTTATTCAATGCGTGATAAATTATGCACAGGCTTTCTCCTATAGCATTAACACTGAACATTCTGTATCGGGGGTGACTAAGCTCGCAGATGACTCATACAGGGGTTGCTTATTTTTTAAACTAAGGGTTGGTTGGTCCGTTTGTGTATTGTTTTCTTGCCTAGAACTTGAATGTATATTGTTATATAAGTTATAATGTAAGTTAACTAAAAAAAATTTATTCAGATCACTGGGCTAGTGATCTGAAAATATATTTTCAATGTCCAGCAAGAAGTGAATATAGAAAAAAGTTACTAATATTTTTTTAATTACTCCTTTACAAAAAATTAAAAAAAGACAAATCTAATAAATCTTCTATTATAATATTTGTATAACTGAAAATAAAAAAATGTTAACCTAACTATTTATGTGCGTTTTTATTTCTTTCTATACTGGATATATCTTTATATTTCATACAAAAACACTTGAAGCACGCAATAAAATCATAGTATATTTTCTACTGAAGGTTTCTAACATACTGCGTGTTTGAAATTATGCCATAATATTGTGATCATTGTACAAAATATTTGTTGAGGGCGTCGTGAAAACATTCTACTCTTGAACTTGTCTAATCTAACAATGTAATAAGTACATCACTTAACCTTTTATCCATAAACAAATTAAAAGTAAAAAATATGTGAAAACAAGCTTCTGTTTAAATACGCTTCTTTACGTCTTATATATAAAATTCTCGTGTCACAATATTAGTTACCATACGCCTCCGAAACGAATTAACCGATTTTCATGAAGATTTATATGCATATTCAGTAGGTCTGAGAATTGGCTACTGTCTATTTTTCATACTCCTAAGTGATAAGGGTTGTCGACCTCTAACATTTTTTTTTATTTGTTGGTAAATTTTTTTTTTTCTTTATTTATAATGTGACATTAAATAATACACACAACTCTAAAATTTCA